CTGGGAAAGGGGGCTCTTACACTGTAAAATTTGAAGCATGTAAATACAAGTACCTTGGCAAAAATACTTCATTTTCCAGCGAGCTAGCTTTTTCTCAGCCAGTGGAACAAAGACTCAGTCATTCCTCATTCCTGTAGGTCAAAGAATGTTCAGTCTCACGTGGTTTATTTGCTCTCCTGCTTGGATCATCCTTGTCATTGGTTCAGGCTCTGCTGGTAGACATGCCTCTAAAGAGATGAGGCTGGGGGCTGGAGAGATGGCTCAGCAGTTAAGAGTACTGGCTAGGTCTGTTTCCAACACTCACATAACAGCTAACAACCATCTGTGACTCCAGTTCCAGGGAATCTGATGCCCTCTTCTGGCCTCCGTGGGTATTGCACACGTGTGGTACACTTACATATACCCAGGCAAAACACTCATATGCATAAAATAAAAATTAATAAATCAAAAATAATTTTAAAGAGATGAGGCTGGATAAGGGGATGAGGCACACTGCAGAGGGCATGCTTATGTAGAATTGAGGCAGGATGAGGAAATAAGGTACAGTGTGTGTGGAGGTCCACTCTCCTCCATGTGCTCAGCCAGCCCTGTCAGGAGGAGGTGAAACAAACCACCTTCTGAGGATAAACTCTCAGTTGTTTGTAATTTTTTCAAAAAAAAAAAAAAATTCCAAGGCTACAATTTCTGATGCTTGGTCTCAACCCCAGAAATGGGTGCTTTGCTGTTGTTTTTGGACAGTTTCAGAAACGTCTGTTTGGAGGGAATTATTTCAGCAGGGAACATGGATGTCAGCAGAGAAATTCTTCAGATGGATTTTCATGTCCAAATTGAGCTTAAAAATGACTAGTGAGTAGACCTTAGTAAGGCCACCATGGCAAGAATCCATTTTCCTTTCTCTCTGCTTTTGATATTTAAAAAAATTTCTTCTTTTTCTGAGAAAATGCATAAGAAAATAAGAAGGATACAGACATTTTGCATTGCCAAGAAAAATAGCAGGCCTTACTGTTGTCTTTCCCCAACTTTGCAACTGTACCTTGCTTATTTCTCACTGAGACAAAGTCATGCTAGAATTACAGTCTCCATCCTAAGCCTTGCTTTAGTATATATAGATATGTGTGTTTGTATGTGTTAAGCAGATTCTCAAGTACTCATATCTTTGACATTGTTATGTTTCTAGACCTAATGCAGTAAGCAATTTGTCCAAGAAGTAACTCAGTGCCTAGTATACCTAAGACTGAGTTCAGTCTTCAGCACTACTCGAAACAAGTAAACAAACAAGAAGTAAATAGTTAAAGGGCTATGGATTCATGATGGAGTACATATTTGTAATGTGCCAGGCCCTGTGTTCAGTTCCCAGAACTACAAATTTAAAATGTAAAAATACAATAAAAAGCCAAAATAAGATAAACTTAAGCCAGATATTAGTAGCTCATACCTGTACTTGGGAGGCCAAGGCAGTACAGGTACTCTGAGTTCAAGGCTAGTCTGGGCTATATGGTAAGTACCAGGCCAGCCTGAGCTACACTGTGAGACCCTGCCCCCACAAAAGTAACTCAGAACTCAGTTTCCCTAGTCAGCCAGTAAGTACCATTGAGTGACACACATGTAGGTACTATTGGAGGGGGGTTTACAATTCTACTTTTACCAGAATGAGAGCCCAGTCTCTCTTGGGCTTAGCTCCATCTCTGCTTCCTCTCCTTCCTCTCACTCCCTAACTACATTCTTTTCTCCTTGTTGCATTTGCAAAAGGGACAGTGGCTGGCTGCAGTTGTGAGGGCTGTTTCTATTTTGAACCTTATAAATTACCAAAGGTGTAGAAGTAAAGGGAATTGTTTGGCTTGCCCTGGTTAAGCAGGAGGGGGCCTGGACTGAGCTTCCTCAGTAAACCTTTATCCATTTTACAACCCAAACACCTCTGTAGCTCCCTGTGCTCAGATCAGGAACAGCCCTCTGGCAGGCTTTGTCTGCTTACACTCCTTTTTGCTCTTTATTACTTCATTCGCCTCCTCCCCTCCCCCTCCCCCTTCTTCTTTCTTCCTGTCTCTCTCCCCCCTTCTTTCTCCCTCCCCCTCCCCCCTCCCCTTCCCTCTCTCTCCCTCTCTTCTTTCTCCCTTTCATTTTTTCTCTGTTCCCTTCCCTGTCTTTCCCAGGCCACTGGGAAGAAAGTTGCTATCAGTCCATTTAAGGAGCTGGGAAAATGGAATATATCATAAACGAGCTAGTTCCTTTTTTAAAAAATCCAGTAACTAGGAACTCATACAGTATTCTATTTCCATACACTATCTCATTGGAAAAATGCAGATTAGGAACTAAAACAATTATCTGGAAAATTGAAAGGACACCAGAAGTTTGCTTTCTGGTAGAAATCACTGTTCTCCCTTGCCCTTATTCCAACTCTGTTCAACACCCAGTAGATACAGTGCCCTGATAGTGGGGAAAACTCTGGTGATGACAGAAAGCACAGGGCCCTGGAGTCAGCCCACCTGGGTTTCTTCCAGGCCTGTAGTTGTGGGAGTCTGAATAAGCTATCTGCTGCCACTCAGTTTCTTTGCCTCTAAAATGGGAATAATGACCCCCACCTTACAGGGCTGATGTGAAGATGAGAAGAGACATCTTGTACACAGAGCTTAGAGGTCCCTGGAGCAGTGGCAGGCAGGCACCCACCTGCACCATCACTGCTGTCCCCAGTAGGACTGACATCCGGTGCAGCTGCATGTGTTTCACTTTGGTAGTAATCTGGCCCCTTGATTTGCTAGACTACTGAAACAAGAGCAGATGCTTTCTATACAGCAGGAAATTGTTTGAGATTGCTGGGAAAGAACTTTTAAAAAGCTTCTTTATATTTTTCTTTCAAACAGAAAATGTCCCCTTGTCTGTTTCCAGAGCAGTTGAGGGGTTTTGGAGGTCCCTCCCCTGCCAAAGTCAAGAGGCAGAGGATGGGGGCTGAAAATCAAGGGGAAAGAACTCTTTCTTGGAACATACTGTGAGCCTTGTTGTGGGGTGTTGCCTTAGGTATGGTGTGGAGGGTGCCCACTGGGTGGAGCCAAAGTGGCCCTCTACTCTAGCAGTAGAGAGACTGGAAGCCAAAAAGCCAAAAGACCCCAGAGAAGCAAAAGTTCTAATCAAACCCCAAGCATCTCCAAGCAAGAATGAACACCTGTAGTAGGGTTGGGTTGAAAAGCCAACAGACCCATAGACAGCCAGAACACATAGTTTGTATGCTCAGCATAGCTTTCCATTGTGACTGGAAATTGAGAGTAACTACTTCCATTGATTGTTCTAGAAGAATTAACTTTTGACTATGGGTCACTGTCCTAGAAATATACAAATATTGCCATATGCAATCTTCACCGTAAATTTTGATAGTTATGACAAAATTCTTGACTTCTAGCCTTTTTAATAGAAATACTTCAAATAGGGTCTGGAGAAATGGCTCAGTGGTTAAGAACACTGACTGTTCTTGCAGAAGACCCAAGTTTGAATACCAGCACCCACATAGCAGCTAACAACTGTCCATAACTCCAGTTCCAGGGGATCTAACAGCCTCTTCTGTCCTCCGCTGGCATTGCATAACACGGGTGCACTTACCTACATACAGGCATAACACTCATACACATAAAATAAAAAAACAATAAATAAAGTATTAAAAAATAATAAAATATTTTTTAAAATACTTCAAATAATAATGTTGAGATAACAGTGAACAATACTTAAGGGAAAAGTGCATGTGACTTTTGAGTTTGACCTTATTCCAATCACAGATATAAACCTGTAACTTTTTGAAATTCTTACAAAAAAGATTACAAGCTTTGTGTATAGTAAAAACACATTATCTTAGCTGGGGTGATGGTTCACTGGGCAAAGTGTTTGTACAAGCATAAGGACTGGAATTTGAATTCCCAGCACCCACATAAAAAAGCTGGTTGGGTTGGTGGGCTGCCTGTAATCCCAGTGCTCAAGAGGCAGAGATGGGACCCCAGGGTAAGCTGATCAGCTTGACTGGCCAAATTGGCAGGCTCTGGGTTCAGTAAGAGACCCTGCCTCAGTAAATAGAGGAGTGATTGACAAACCATTAATCTCTCATTTACACACACACACACACACACACACACACACACACACACATACCCTCGCATACATACGTGTATACATATACTCATGTACATGTACCCACACAGATGCACACCACACACACATACACATACAAAAAAAGTATGACTCCCTTGGATGGTAAGGAGTCCTTCCATCTTTGTGACCCATATCTTTAGATTAACAACCTCAGAAACTGTCCTGCGATCTCATTACTAAAAGGACAAAAATGTTCCTTAGAAATTCATTAAACAATATAAATTCAGGAACCATCAAAATTGCATATATGGCTACTGATAAGATACTTAAACACTACTCTCTCAAGAAGTCTACACTTATGCCCTAAGTATCTACTGCCCTTTTCCTAAGCACCAGTCTCTCCCACAATACTCTGATGCCTAAATTGATGTTAAAACCTTTTCTTAATAAGTCTGGTGGGCTAGGAAGATGGCTCAGTCAGCAAAAAGCTTGTTATGTCAGTATGAAGACCTGAGTTTGGATCCCCAGAACCAACACAAAAATCTGGGTAGCACAGGTAAGGTAGAGACAGGAGGATCCCTGGGACCTGCTGGCCTCTGACAAGTAAATGGGAAAGATAATTTTGTCTGCTCCAGCATCTGCACAAATATTCCCTGCACCTGTGTGGCCTTGCCTTGGGTCTCAGCCCTCACTGCTGTCAGTCCCTGGACAAGGCTCAAGTGTTGTTACCATGATGAAATCACCTTTAAGCTCAGGAGGAAACCTGATAAAAAGCTTCCTTTAGATGAGAAATGACATGAAGGGGTTCTTTGGTAATCCAGTAGCACATCCACTTTGAATGCTGCCTTGTGAGTATGATGCAAGTGGGGTCGGGAGATGGGGTGAAGCCCCAAGAGTTCTCACCATGACCATTCTCCCACTTTCTCTCACAGCAGCATTGCAGGGGACTGCAGTATCTCTGCAAGTGTCACCGGTGGCTTATGGGACATTGGCTCAGGACCCTCTGTGACACACCATGCTTTGTGGGATGATGACAACATGCAGAGGAAAGAGGCCTACAGTCACACTGGTTTGGCTCCTCTTGGCCACAGCAGGCTGCCTTGCCGATTTGAGTGAGTGGCTCCTTCTGTTCTTAGCCTCCCCTTCCCCGAAGAGCCCTTTGCCCTAATGTCAGATGGAAGCATGAAGTATCTTACAAAAACTCTTCCAGAAGAACCCTTCATTTCCACTGGCCTTTAGACTGTGGCACACTCAATAATACAAGATGAAAAATGATTAGGACAGTATCATGTTGGTTATATTTTTGAAGTTTAGTCAATTCAAAGACATACCAGAAACAGAGCAGGGATAATAATAACTGTCTTTGATTGTGCATTTATTGTATGAGACCAGGGCCAGCCATTTGCACACACTGTAAAGCCTCACACTATGCTGTGAGTCAAGCATTACTAGCTTCCATTTGCAGATAAGAAAAGCCACAATTACATGGCTCAGAAGTGGTGGTGCTGGGATTCAGCCCAGGTCTGTCCAACTCCAGAGTCTGAGCTCTTGCCTTTATATTACCACTGCAAGTCAGCTCTCTGGAAACCATCAGATTGGAGAATGGGCTAGGGTAGTTGGGTTACTCCGGGTAGAGGTGAGTAGGTGGGAGAGATCAGCTCCCCTGGGTGCTCAGTGATGGCTGCCTGGATACTGTGTTCTCAAAAGATGGTGTTGCTGGTTTCTTGGGGGTGTCAGCTCATTGCTGCATTGCTGTTCTTTCTCCAGATGTGGTCCCTCAGGTCACTGTCCAGCCCATGTCCACTGTACAGAAGCTTGGAGGAACTGTGATCCTGGGCTGTGTGGTGGAACCACCATGGGTGAATGTAACCTGGCGTCTCAACGGAAAGGAGCTGAATGGCTCGGATGACACTCTGGGAATCCTGCTTACCCGTGGGACCCTTGTCATCGCTGCCCTCAACAACCACACTGTGGGACGATATCAGTGTGTGGCCCGGATGCCTGCGGGAGCTGTGGCTAGTGTGCCAGCCACGGTGACACTAGCTAGTAAGTCTGCTCCTTTACTACTCTGTGTGGTATGGTCTCGTCTCTTTCTCTCACTCTCTTTTCTCCTCGTCATACCCCCTGCCATTAGTCCTACCATAACCCAACTGCTGAAACTTCCAAATTGATGTCTCCAATGATGGGGACACTGTGGTGCCCTGGAAAAACCCCTCTCTAAGCCAGGTGATTTCTGAAGCAAGCATCTACAGAGGGTGAGTTGTCCCTGGGGGCTCAGAGTTGGGTCACACCCCACCTCTCCACTTGGTCAGCTGTGTTTTAGTGGGGAGTGACAGCAGCTCTCCTAGCACCCATCTTACCCCTACTCCCATTCCCACAGTAGTTTCATCAGAACATGTTGCAGGGCTGTGGACAGAGCCTGCATATCCCAGACCTGGCCTTAGCACTTCCCAAATATTTGGAATCTAAATTCTTGAATAAGTGGAGAGGAAGCTGTCTGACAAAGGGACAAGAAAAGAGAAACAAGGAAGAGATTAGGTGACAGTTTGGTTCGTGATGTGTGCTGCTTCTTCTCTTTCTCTCACGTGTGCACTTTTTGGGGATTTGCCTTTCTTTTATTTATACTGCTGCACTCAGTGTAAAATAGTTTATTGAAATCATTGTCTGTGGACATTCTACTTGTGATGTTGAATCAGTGTTATCTCTATTTTCTATGATTATTACATAGAAATACAGAAAACATAAGTCTTCAGGCGAACATATGGAAACCAAAGGGCCAAAAGGCTTCCAAGGTCCCTCCCAAATGGTTACTTCCTTGCTTTCCTGCCAGATGGTCCTCATGACTGCACATCTTTCTTTCATGCTTATGAAAGTGAGAAATGATTTTTACAGAACAATTATAGTATATATTATGAGCAATAAAACAGAGAGAGGGCTTGACTGTCGTAGCTGGATGAGAAGCCTCATCTTCAACGGGATTGCTAGTTGCCACTCTGTGTAGGTCAGCTGTTATGTCAGGCCATGTGGAAGGGGATCATGTGACACCATTTGATTGCCACTTGCTATACAGTGTCCCATGCACAGGGCATATATTATCTGTTTCCAAACCTTTGTACATATGGGATCATGAGAATTACTGATCAAATGTTTTCCTGAGCCCACAGAGCAGTCCCAGCAGCCATTTCATATGATGAGCTTATAGCCAGGAAACAAAGAATTGGCCCCTTTCCTGGAGCTTGACGTGTAAGAAATTGGGAAGCTTGTCAAGGCAAGGTTATTTGGATGTGAACTTTGAGATTTCTGGGGCTTGTTCCCTTATAACTTAATAATGTCCCCTTATTGCTGACAGGCCTGCTTGGGCTTCCATGTCACCATTACCATATCCCCATGGATGATGTGGCTCTAGGAAGTGAGCTGTCTCATATCATAGCTCCAAAGGTGGCAGCAAACTTTTGCAACGTGCCTTTATTGCCATTAGCTGGGGTCCCTGGGGTGTGTGAGATGTGAGCTCTGGGGGGACAGTGGCAGCAAAGAGCAAGGGCAAGTGAAACAGAGGCAAGCATCTAAAGAGGGTGTGCTCCTGGTTTGCTGGGAAATACGAAGCAACTCGTCCTTTACCTACGGAGGGTATGCAAACCACGTCTGCTGTGAGCTCCCTGAGAGGCCAGGTTGACCCTGAGGTGCAGCTAGGGGCCCCCTATCCACATGGAGCCACTCACCTTCTGGGCAGAAATAGCATGATTGAGACTTGAGTGCCAGGCCTCTGGGATGCAGGCTGAGTGCTGCAGAAGGGCAGCTGGATGTGCTCCTTTAGTAGTGCTTGTAGGGGGAGTAGAGGATGCTGGGAGCTTAGAGGAAGAAGGTAGAGTTGAGGAGGGGTGGTCTCACTGTATCAAGAGCAGCTGAGGTTAGAGCCACACTTCCAGCACTGTGCATTTCCTACCTCCTTTGTTATCAATTTTCAAGTTATAATTGTGCTTTGAAAGCTTAGAATAAGTAAGAAGCAGTGTCTCCCTTAAACCTGCCATCTTCTGACAGCCATCATTATTGTGGCATGTGCCCTTCTAGTCTTTAACCATACCCATATATTTATGTTGTTACAATGCCGCTGAATAATATAGTTTCTATACTTGTTTATCATGCAGTGCTAAAAGGGGAAAAACATTTTCCACTGGCCATATGACAAGCTGCCTTTTCCCTTTTGATGAGTATAAGTGATGGTAAAGTGCAAAAAATATGAATCTTAAGTGGGCAACCAGTGGATTTTCTTCATACATGTTCACCATGTCATCGTCACTCAAGTATATCCCATCATGCCCCTCACCAGCCCATCCTTGCTGCCCATGGTAGAGCTCTACCATAACATAGTGAAGCTTTTTCTTTTGCTGGGCAATCCATTCATTCCCAGTTGTTCATTAGCACAAATAAGATGTAGCTTTCAGCAACATTTATGCCTGTAAGGGGCATCTAGGAGGAAGATTTCATCTGAAAACAATCAGCATGTGTCTGTGGAGGCTTAAGTAATTATAACCATTCATTCAGCTAAATGAAGAGCCAGCACCTTTTATTGTTTGGAGAAGTGGGGTTTGGAGAGGAGGTGGTTTACTTTGGACCTCTCCTTTTGCTTCAAGGTGTATCTCTGTGAGAAGAGACAATTCATAGCCTTTATTATAGTTAAAAAAAAAATCCTGGCTTCCATTTTCTCTTGTGCTTGAAGGGATGCCTGGCTGGCAGAGAAGACAAAGGAAGGGTTTGGTTGCAGCCCACGAATGCACAGTGATGATGGGGTGTGTGCAGGAGTGGAGCGGTTTCATTCAAAAGCCAAGAACCATTGGCTTGTCATTCAGACATGAATCAGAAGTGCAGTGTTTGGGCCTGACTAGAGGGAACGAGAAGTGAGGGAAACAGAATGAGCAGGCGTGGGTGGGTGTCCTGCAGAAGAGGGAGTTGGGAGAGTGGAACTCCAGCCTCCCAAGCTTGAAGGAGGCAGCACTGGGGTGGCAGGAAGGCAGGTAGGGGCGAGAGAAAGGGGTGCTGTGTTTGGGTGAATGCCACTGAGGGGGATTGGCCCAGACTCAGCAGTTAGATTACATTTCTGAGAGAGCATTCCTGAGCAGAATGGGGCTATGTTTTGCTGGTTGGCTGGTGTACAAGGAGGCTAGTCTGTAGATGGGATTACCAAAGGCACTGTATGCATTTAGAGAAAGACTGGGCAGTAATGTGCCAGTGCACACCCCACACTCAGCACTTAGGGCTTGTTTGTAGGCCTTCTTTCATACATTCATCCCCACACAAAGCAGTTGCTGTTTGGCCTACCTGGCAATGTGCGTCCTCCTAGCCTAGCTCTAGAGGCCACTGGGAGCTTTAGATGAGAGGGTCAAGGATCTGGCTTGAGGATTCAGGAGTGAGGAGGAGGTCTCTAGAGAGCTTTCCTGGCCCAGGCAGGCTTCTGTTATGCCCTGTTATTATTGGGCCTGGGAGGTACACTGGGACTTCATCCTGATCAGGTGACATCAGCTTCTGGATTTGGGGAAAATGGAGCCAGAAGTCAAGTCACCCGATGAATCTCACCTATGCCTTCTCCACCCTCTACCTAGCCTGCCTGTTGGGGCTGGGGAGGTGGGGGACCCTTTGTCCTTACTGTGCTCTGTGAATTTTCTTTTTTGTCTAACCTAAACTTGATTTTTGGTTATTCTCTCCTGCTGCTAATGCCTGGCTTCAGATCATGTCATCTAACTCTTGCTTTTTGAAATGTTTATCTTTGGTCTCCTTCCATCCACTTCCCTTTCTTTTTCTTTTCACAAGCTTTATATAGGTGACTACTCTTTGTGGATCAGATATTCCCACTGTGCTCCTGAATCAACAGTAGATCCTGCCTAGGGAACCCCAAGCTCCTTACTGGACACCCTTTCTTCCACCTGTGAGGTCCCTAGTACAGCACAGCAAGTAGTCAGAGTGGCTCGAGCTGGCATGAGACATAAAGGCTCCTCTCTCCTCTACCTCTTGTGCCTGCTATTCAAGTAAATGCCTATCTATTCCTTTACTTTGACCTTTTTCTATTTTTTAAAGATAGTTCTCCCATTATCCATAGGTCTCAGTATAGTTGGGAATTGAATATGTGGTAACTGAGTAGTTACCTGCCTATAATTGTATTTGAGAATTTTAGTGTTCAAGATAACATGAAGTCTTAAGTTGAAGTTGGAATATTTGAGATCTGTAGCTCTCCTTAAATAAAGCCTTTGAGCAAGGCGTGGCAGTACACGCCTTTAATACCAGTATTGGGGAGGCAGAGGCAGGTAGATCTTTATGAGTTAGAGACCAGCCTGGTCTACACAGTGAGTTCTAGGCCAAGAGGCCTACATAATGAGACCGTGTCTCAACCAAAGAAAAGAAAAGGCTTTGCACATGAAGACTGGGCATACACTGCTAAACAGTCCTTTCTGTGTCTTCAGAGATCAGTAGGCAAAGAGGAAAGAAAGGGGTCCACTGAGGCAGATATCTCCATGACCCATGTCTCTGAGGAGGGATCAGAAGAGGAGGAGAGCTCTTTGTTCCCATTCATTAACCCATCTATAGAATGAAGAGCCAAACAGGTATGATGGGAAAAACAAACTAAAATTTAAATCCTGGGTTCAAGTCTTAGCTTTGCCACTTAAGAGTTTTGTGACATATAGTAGGTCACTCAGTCCCCAGATTGCCAACTACTGTACAGTGAACATAGTAACAGTGACATCACCAAGCTCATGGGGTGTCGTTTTCATTGTGGATCAAATGAGAATATATGGCAGCAATACTCTGAAGCACTTCCGAAATTTTAGGCTTTATTTGTTGGCCTATTTGGTCAGCAAATATTTAATAAAGTGTCTTGTTGTTGGGGGCTCTGGGGCCTGTGTCCAGCCCTGTGTAGCCAACTCTATCCTGAGGACAACATTTAGAAGACATGAGCCTAGGGCGTTTCCCAGTGTCTCATCACAAAGCCAAGAAAGAAAGAGAACAGACCCATGCCCCTGGAATTTCCCAGCTTCCTGAATGCATGTGTTCTCTAG